CTGGCCCGGGCCTTGTCCGAGCCCGGCGCGGGGCTCACGGCACACGCGGGGTACTGGGGAAGCCCAGGGGCAGCTGCGAGCGTCCACCGCTGTGGCCGCTGCAGCTCATCCAGTCCCCCGAGCACTCGTCTTAATGAAATGTGATGGGCGTTTGGCCTGGCAAAGGATTCCTGTAGCGGGTTCCCGGCTCCTCCGTACAAGAGGAGCCACTGGAGAGGGGCCGGTGGAGAGCCACGAAGACGATCAGGGGTCTGGAACCTCTCTTTTGTGAGGAGAGACTGCGGGACCTTGGCCTGTCTGGTCTATAGAAGGGGAGAGCTCACCCAAAGATACAAATACCTCAAAGGTGGGTGCCAAGAGGATGGTGCCAGACTCTTCAGGGTGCCCAGTGGCAGGACAAGTAGAAACGGCCTTAAGCTGAAACACGACAAATTCCACCTCAACATGAAGAACAACCTCTTTACATTGAGGGTGGCAGAGCACTGGAATAGGCTGCCCAAGGAGGCCGTGGAGTCTCCCTCTGGAGACAGTCCAAATCCACCTGGACACATTCCTGTGTAACTTGCTGTAGGTGACCCTGCCTTAGCAGGAGTACTGGACTAGGTGGTCTCCAGGGGTTTCTTCCAACCCTGACAATTAATTCTGTGAATGTAAACCAGTATAAATAACATGCTGTAACTGAGGCCATAATCAGGCACTCGGTTTAATGTACACTTCAGGAGATAGCTACACATTCAGAGTGCCTGCAATGTGTCTTGGGTCCCCAGGTAGCATTGTAAATATACAAAATGCTAGTGCAAAAGTTGTCTGGTTTTCAACAGGTCCTTCTCATTCACAAAAAAGGCTCTTCACAGTAAAATTACACTGGTTTTATTTTTCCTTCTTTTAAAACAAAGTATCATTCACTTTTTCAAACAAATACGTAACATCAAATTCTTACACATGGTTGGTTGCTTTTTAATAAAGGATGTGTTTTACTTATCTTTCAAATTGCATATATCACAAAGTCTAACGCTGAATTATTTTAAAAGCTTGTGCTTTAGAAATGAAGTCTGAGAACTCTTAATTTAGCTGTGTTTGTTTTTTTTTTTATTTATTTACAACTTAACATTTACTTCCTGAACCTCCAGACTGCAATCTTGCATAGCAATGCATGTGCTGAGGTAGGACTGCAGTGTGGAGACACAGGTATTGGCACTGGAAGAGTGACAGAACAGGGATAGCAAAGGTGCTACTCTTGCACAATTAACAACAGCTCCAACTACTGAAGAGACACAGGATGAGGCAGGAACCTTCACACAACAGACAACCCTTTCTCCTACAGCTGCCACTTGAAATGAGTTTGGCAAAAAAGGCAGGGTGACAGGTATGGGTGGCACCAAGGAGCACATCACAGCAGGCTCTGGTCCTGGACTTCTCGGGCTGCTCGTGTTAGCAGAGGGTGCAGGCAGCAGATATGCCTTGGAAAAAGCCTATTCAGCAGGCGAGGGAGTTTAGAGACCAGGCATGAAGAAATCTTGTGTGGAGTTAGCAGGATGGAGCTTCTCTTGTAAAGAATGGATGGATAAATTGTTCAGTTGACACTGATTGTGTGGGAAGAACATGTGATTAATCAAATTATAAGGAATAATAAGAGTTGCAGAAAGCTATTGAGACTGAGCAGCAGCATGACAGTTAACTGGAGAGAGATCCCTGAGAGCAAAGCAAAACTGAGTACCACTAAAGAGTTTTCTATCTTCCTGGACAGTTCTCAAACCGGTCTGACAAAATGACTTTGGACGGAGAAATTTTGTTGATAGAGGCCCTCCTTAAACAGGCCTTCAGCACTGGCACCATTTCAGCTAGATCCTCTTGAGAGATCAACTAATTTAAGAAGAAGTTGTTTCTTTCTACTTGAATGGTGAGGGGAAAAAAGGCACTAGCCAAAAATGAACTTGGATGAAAAAAAAAAATAAAAAATCTCAGGCAGTCATGGAAAAGCTATCCTAGATTTAGCTTTGGGTGCTTTCTTTTGGAGGGCATTACTAGTTTGGTATCATTCTGAGTTAATCATCACCATAAGGTGACAGCTTTTTAGTCAGTTTAAATCTATGGGCTAGGTTTTCTGTCTCCCAACTGCTTCCTCCCTAAGAACAGCTGTCAGCATCTATTGACATCATTACTAAAGAGTTCCACAAGTAATTAATACCTAACTTAATGGCTGTATTTAGACATGCTCTAACCTATCCAACAGAATCTTAATACCCTGAGTGTCAAACACCAATCCAAGACATTACAGGGACAGGTACATCCCCAAGACAGTGCTAGTACTGCCATTCTCTTTGGATGACAAGGAAGAGTACTCATCATTTTCCCATTCAGCACATAGTTCTTTTTGGAAAGAAACAGACTGTGTCACCAGAAGACCACAATGGTAACTATATGAACCTCATTTTAAGTAGGTATCTCCAGCTTCATGTAAATGGAAAACATTTCAAAAATGTATAACAGCTGTAAATATGAGAATTCTGGGATAAGGTAGCTTAGGACTGCCAGAGTCATTCTCTGAGCTGGAGTCATTCATGATTTGGCTATCTACATTTATCATCCGTCATTGCCAAGGTGTGATCCTGTCTGTCACTGCTGAGGGTGCAGGCTACCTGTTAACATTCTCTGAGGTATAAATACTGCAAGCAAGGAAGTATCTACTACTCTCTCCAGGTACTTGCTTCTTCATATCATGACCACTTTGAGCTGTCAAATTTGCACTGTACTGCAGCCTGCTTGTTGTTTCACATCTCCTCTATTTACCTAGTTAAATTAACTTAGGCTGCTCCAAATAAATCCCTTTCTTTTTACATTTATACTTGTAACTAAGTAGTCATTTGATTATTTTCATATTTCAAGGCTTGTCTCAGTCAATCCCTTCAATTCACCAGTCATCACCGGTCATTTTGGTGGCTCAAGTTCAGTCCTTGCAAATCTGCAACAGCTTCCATGTGCTTAAGTGTTCATCCCAAATGCAAGTGCAGAAACTCCTGAATCTTTCCCCAGGAGTGTTCCTGTGCATGGGCATGTGCTTTGCTCTCTCCACCCCCCAGAACAGGCACCCCCAAAACACGATCCACAGCTACCCGACAAAACGGAGTAAAAGAAGGATCAATTCTGTGACCTGCTCCTGGATAACTCAGGAGTTTAAAGTTCTCTTTCCCATGCTGGCGTAGACGCCTGATTGCCAACTCAGCATATAAGGAGCTCTTCCAGATCCGATCACCTTCCCCTACCACTAAGAGAAAGTGACCTTCTGCTTTTTCAATGGGGATCACACTAGAAGAAGTAGCAGGATTTGTTGGGTCATCCAGAGCTTCAAAAATGTCAAATATACCAGACTGAGAGACATTGACTTTCTTCATATCAAAACGCAGCCCAGGCAGAGTCGTCTCACCATAATGGAGGTCTGCAACAGTGTTTGAACTACAGCCAGAGACGGAGACAGCAGCCACTACTTCTGGCAGGAAGGTGATCATGGAGAGTGCTAATTCTGCCCCCTTCCCAGTCCCAATCACTCCAACTCCTGGTCCTTTCACCTTCACATAAGATAGGGGGTGGAGAAGGGAGAGATAAATTAATAAAGGAAGCATACATTATAATGGGATTAGCCATTAATTGACTTTGGAGCTGTTTTATTAAAAAAAAAAAAGTTAATTATTGATGTAACCTTCTGGAAAGTGACAGTCGACCCAAACTCCTCCTCCTAACTCGTCCTCCTGTTTACAGTCTTATTTTTCAGAGACACCCAGGGATACCAAACCCCACAAAAAATGCAGACAAGCACAAGGCATGTCATCACTCAATCCTTACCAGTCCCTACTACATGTATTTTCTCATTTTTCTTAAAAAGGTAACAGGAAATTCAAGCACAGTCTACTGTTTTGCGTGTCTCAGGAAAATAAAGCAACCTCACACATTACATCTGAAGGATCAGATAAGTAGCATTTGTCTTGTCTTTTTCTAGCCTGGAAAGTAAAACTGAAATCAATATCCCACATCATCAAATCCATTCTTTCAACTACTATTGAGCAGTGTCATATCTCTTAAAATTAATTGCTTTCATCTAAGAAAAAACCTAAACAAACCAAACATTTTTATCACCACTGGTCCTGTTTGGAGGATACTCCAGCATTCGCTATCCTACTGATCAGCAATCTTCTAGCTCCAGCATGAATTTAACAGACACTCTGAGCTGGAAGAAATTCACTCTACCCAGTCATATGCTTAAGTAACTACTGGGCCTAAGCTTGCCCAGCAGAAACTGATACTCAAATATCAGTTTCAAAAATCACCACCACCACCATTTAGGCATAACTGCTAAATCCTCCCTAATCCCAAGAGATCTCTCATTGCACTCACCTTTGGGTGACGCCGTAGGAATCTTGCTGCCTCCTCAAAGTACTCAAGTTTTAATTCTTTCATGAACCTAGGAAGATCTTCAAAGTCAAAATATGGCAGAGAAAGAGCAGCAAAACCATGGGTAGCCAGGAGACTGGATCTGAATTCGATCAAGCCTCCTTCATCACCATACATGTCAATCACTCCTGGAAAGGGACCATCCCCTATATTAAAGAGAAGGGATACAGAGAAGTTATCAAACAGGACACAAAAAACCATCTGGAGAAGAGTGAACAACAAAATACAGAATGCTTGAGACATTTTCTATTAATAGTCACTACTTTTCCATTTGCACAGCAGAGATTTAAGAGAAGCAGTGTGGTATCCCACTTCAGCTACTTCAGACTAAGAATCAGTCCAGGTCCTTACATTCCTGTAAAAATATGTGAAGTCACAGGTTTAGGTTTAAAAAAACCCACCAAACCAAACCAAAACAAACCAACCAAAAAAAACCCAACTGTTCTAAATGTATTTTTCCATGGTCTTAACCTCCTGCCCTCAGACCAATCATACACCAAGTCAGCTATTTTCCCACAGTCACATCTTAATTAGCAAAGTGCAAGCCTACGAGTAATGAGGCAAGAGCATTGAGCCCTTGAAGTAAATTCTACAAAACTTACGTAAACTCTGGAATAAACTGCACTGAGCAAAGCCCAACAAAGATAACCCATTGTTAAAATCAACTGGACTTGCTAGCTCTATCTCAACATCAGAACTGTAAGACTTGGCAGGAGAACTGCTCCTGCAGTTGCAACAAGATGGAAGGCAGAACTGAGAGCTGGATGGGTGTGGTTGTGTGTGCAAGACTGATTACAGATACATGTACATGTGCATATGTGTGCACAGTCTGTCTCACCAAACTACAGAAATAATCAGAACCACAATTTTAAACAGCTGTGCTTTTGCAGCTAAGCTCATGTTGTAACCAAGCCAGGAGATCTTAGGTTAAAAGGCTAAAGATGCTACTTAGTGGAGCTTTAAAGACCCCAAGCAAGCAAATTTTTTTTTTTTTATTTTTTTTTTTTTTATTTTTTTTTTTCCCCCCCTGGCCATCAGATGTGACATCTGATGTGCCCTGATCCAGCTCACTACAACCATCTCAGCACAAAGAGGACACGCTTGTTGCAAGAGCATATCAACTCTCTGACACTACCTGTACATGCTAAATAAAAGGTCTTTGGCATTTCAACATATTTGAGAAAAGGAAGTTTTGTATATGACATGTTAAATGGTGGAAACCTCCTAAATTAAAGCATTAAGAAGTCAGAAATGGACTGAAACATGCTTTTGGGTTCTTACTTGTTCAGTTTTGATCTTTTCCTCATTGAAGTTCAATATTCTACTTGAGAAAAAATATGTTGGGATAAATTTATTATAATGTCATGATCAGCAGTAACCTTTAGTTAGCAGCAGCCAGCCTAGGTGGCAAGAAAATACATATTCACTCATCACTCCTACCTGGAAAGCTTTCTAGCAAGAGCATGTAATCAGAACATAGTCATAAATTAATGTGTTTCTCTCTCATGAAGACTTTAACATGCACAAGGATCCTGGACTGCCTCTCTGAGTGCAAACACAATGTCCAAGTATATGGTTCCTGCAGAGCTCACTAAAAAGCAGGATAAAATGGGCTAGACAACTTTACCAATATTTAAAAACAAACAAATCACATCTGTAACTCTTATGCCTGTATTGAGAAACTGCTTTCATATTAAAATTACATCATAAGCCCACTCATGTCCTCCACTTTTACGAAGAATGGCTCATATTTAAGATTCCTATTTTAAAAATATTAACTTTTTTTTGTCCCTGGAACAAAGAAGGGTATGGTCATAATGCTGTAACTGGATGCTCCATCATGAGGGATGGCAATATCATTTAAGCAATGATTCCAGACATTCCCACACTATTACAATGCCAGATTTTCTAAAGGGGAAAATGCAGTTTCATCTTGCAGATCTCTGGATTCCCACTGAACTCAGCAGGAATCAATCTCATCCTCTAAGACAGGATAGATCAAAACAATGTCTCAGAGATGGAAAATCAGCATGCTGACTAAACATCTGAAATTCAAAGTTCAATCTCTGTTGTTTTTTTCCTCAGTGGACTTTGGATCTTTATCTAAATGGATAAAAAAAATCATTGGTTTGGAATGAAAATACTTAATAACTGTAGTGATACTTACGGGACTTGCTGAATCAAGTTTTAAATGAGAGGTAATGCAGAGGGCAGTTGCAGTACCCATAACACTCAGGGAACTACAAGAAGTTTAACTCATAGCTCAAGTGTACAAACACTATCACTGGTGTAAGGTTTCATTTTCCAACACCACTCACAGACCATCATAATATCACACCTCATAATGGTAAGCAGAACAGGAAGAATTTGCTCATAAATCTATTTTGCTTTTATACCACAAAAGTAGTCCAACTACTAACTGTAGTAACTCTGTAGTAACAGAGGTGACATACAAGTATTTTCTAGAATCTCATCGGCTGCTCTGCTTCCTGGCTTGTGTTTCACAGGGAAGAAAAATACCTCTTTAATTCAGCCCTACTTAGTGTAAAATCCTTGGGACATTCAGCACAGGCTCACACAATGAAGCGCATCGGCTTTCCTGGATGTTAGATTCTGGTACTCCAGAGCAAACATAAAACCTCCTGAAAAACCACAGGCCGAGCACGGCAATGAAGTAAACTCTACAACCCGTGTTCTCCTTCGGCTTCGGCCCGTCCCTCAAGAGCCGCCTCCCCGTGCCAGCCCTGCTGGGTGCCGCCGAGAAGGACCTGGCGGGGCGGCCACGAGCGAGCCGGGCCCTGTCGCGACAAGCACTTGGGATATCTCCTTAGGAGTTGAGGGCCACCTGTCTGCAGGGCGCCGTTCGGCTGCTAGGGAATGCCGATTCCCCGGCTGATAGCCTCTGCAGGCGTTTATTTTATGAGACTTCCTTGCTCTGGTCAGAGAAGGCGGGGGGTCCCGCCGGCCTCGGGGAGAAGGTCTCGGGCCGGGGCACTCACCCGGCGGCAGGAAAAGGGAGCCCCTTACGACTCCTTCCTTCAGCCGGATCCTCCGCACGCCGGGGGCCATGAACCACCTCTGCACCTCGGCCTTGGCCACCACGGGCCCGGGCATGGCGCCGGGCGGGCTGTGGCCCTGGTGGACCAACACC